TATTATTATTAATAAATTATATTTATTATTATTGTTGTTGTTATTATTATTATTAATACAGAAATGAATTAGGATAACTGTTAATATATTTTATGTGCATCCTAACTCTCGACATTGATTTCATTCGTTTGACAGTCTGAGGTGAAACACATTCAACGCTTTCACTCAAACATGTACTTCGCTAAACCTTCAGATCTTTCACCCCCAGTGATGAGGCACATGATTAAAAACAAGCGTGTACTTCTCATCTCAAACCTCATCTATCATTTCAATGCCCCCATAAGCCTGTTGCACACTTTTCCCTTTATTCCACCTCTCCTCCTCCTCAATCGAGCTGTGTGAACGTGCCCGCGAGGTATTCCCACCGTCACTCACAGCCTGGGAGAATGAAGTACACAAACATACACACGCACAACCCTACGGGCTTAACACGGCCGTGCTGGTTTCGATGAACAACTGATAGTGGCCTGGAGCAGCATAAAATGGACAGAGACTGAACATGCATACAGAGCTAGACGTGTCACTGTTATTGTTTTATAATAATGTCTTGCATTCTTCTATGGATTACGCAATCAATTGGGAAACCATCGAAACCTGTTGCCTGTGCACTGTAAATGACTTCAAGCTTAAAGGGATAGTTCTTCCTTTGACATACTTTCTTCCATCAAACACAAAAGGAGAACTTTTTAAGAATTGTACTGGTCAAACATTAAAAATGCAATCCCCTGCAACCGGATCATTGAGTTAGTGAGTCGAGAACGAGTCAGGTTTGTGAATGAATCCAGACCTGTTTTGTAAACCGTATCAACAGATTCACTGAAAAGATAACTGCTACTTTTCATTTCACACGAATGCACCTAGGATGAATGTAATAACACATGAGTAATATTAACTATTTTTAAGGTGCTTTTGCATCCTATTTGAAGTCAGTCTCCATTCACTGCAATAAAAAGTACAAATTCTCCAAATTTCTCCTTTTCTGTTTCCCTGAAGAAAGAGTCAGAGATTTGAAACGACTTCAAGTTTGAGTAAATAAAGACAGAATTATAATTTAAGGAAACGTTTCTGGGGGGGAAGTGTGCCAAAACAGAAAGTCAAAGGGGACCATAGATGATGTATTATCTTTAAGGATCTGTTTTATATTGAGTAAATATTTGCATATACACTACAGTTCAAAAGTTTAGATTCTGTGAGATTTTGTGTTTTTGAAAGAAACCTCTTATGTTCACCGAGGCTACATTTATTCAATCAAAAATACAGTAAAAGCTGTAATATTGTGAATCAGTATTACAATTTAAAATGACTTTTTTATTTTAATATATTTTGTAATTTTTGCAATGCAATTAAAGCTGAATTTTCAGCATCATTTCTCCAGGCTTCAGTGTCACATGATTGTTCAGAAATCACTCTTTTGCTGCTCAAGAAACATTTATTATTATTATCAATGTTGAAAACAGTTGTGCAGCTAAATATTTTTATTGAAAACCCTTATACATTTTTTCCAGGATTTTTTGATGAATATAAAGTTCAAAAGAACAGCATTTACTTAAAATATAAATTAAGGGAAAAAGTAAAAATCTTTACTGCAACTTGATGAATTTAATGCATATATAAATGTATTTCTTTTAAAAAAAAAAGTGTGTGTGTATATAAACCCTCCAAAATGTAGGAAAAAAAAAAACAATAGTGAAGTTTCATGCAATGACACGGTTTCTGAAAGCGTCAGTGAGCTCACAGAAACAACCTTTGACTGCTGATGAAATTAGAACAGGACTCGACAGGCCTACAGCCTGGGTGCCAAATGGCGACCGAAACCCACGACAACAGACGAAACCTGGCAGCACCGTGAGGATAGGGAGGAGGGACGTTACGGGGAGGGCCAACAAACTGAAGGAGTAATGCAAAGTGCACAGTCAGTTACACACAGGCCCACACTTGTCCCAAACGGGGGGGGGGGGGCGG